AGAAAGTCATTGGTTTTGGAAGTTATTTATTTCATCTATCTATCTATCTATCTATCTATCTATCTATCTATCTATCTATCTGTCTTTGAGACACAGTCTCACTTTGTCACCAGGCTGGAGTGCAGTGGCAGCCATCTCTGCTCACTGCAATCTCCACCTCCTGGATTCAAGTGATTTTCCTGCCTCAGCCTCCCAGTAGCTAGGATTACAGGCATGCACCACCATGCCCAGTTAATTTTTGTATTTTTAGTAGAGACAGAGTTTTGCCATGTTGGCCAGGCTGGTCTCGACCTCCTTACCTAAAGTGATCTGCCTGCCTCAGTCTCCCAAAGTGCTGGGACTACAGGCTTGAGCCTCCGTGCCTGGCAGAAGTTACTTTTTATCACTTAACCCAGTTTATCCTGACTCATCCACTTAGGCATTTTTCCCTCCTTGAATGGTACCAGGTCTTCTGTATTGTTCACTGTGTATGAATCTACCCTCACATTAATTTTTTTATAGAGTAATCTTGTAAATATTTAGAGTTAGAATTCACTATATAAAGTTGTTGGAGTACCCATGACAAATCCTTAGATGTATACATTTACATATCATAGTTTGGAGACAAAGTTCCTGAAATATGTTCTTTTTTTTTTTTTGAGACAGAGTTTTGCTCTTGTTACCCAGGCTGGAGTGCTATGGCGCAATCTCGGCTCACCGCAACCTCTGCCTTCTGGGTTCAGGCAATTCTCCTGCCTCAGCCTCCCGAGTAGCTGGGATTACAGGCGCGCGCCACCATGCCCAGCTAATTTTTTTTTTTGTATTTTGAGTAGAGACGGGGTTTCACCATGTTGACCAGGATGGTCTCGATCTCTTGGCCTCGTGATCCACCCGCCTCGGCCTTCCAAAGTGCTGGGATTACAGGCTTGAGCCACCGCGCCCGGCCGAAATATGTTCTTTAAAGAAATAATTTCATTAACTTATCTCACTTATCTCTAGAAATGCATTTTAAATTTTTTGGACAATCCCAAGGAATGTATTCATAAAGTCACTCATTAGAGAAAAATTGGAAAAATATTATATAGTGGTTTGAAAAAATATAATAAATGTGAACACTTTTCAAACTGTTCCAAATTTACTATGGTTTCTTGTAATAAACCTAAGCAAATCCCAATTTGTTTTTAGCATTTAATGATTGAAGAGTTCATACATCCTATCCTTTCCCTTCCAGATTGAAATAGCCTAAAAGTATACAAAACAATAGAACTGTGGTATATCTAACTATACCTAATCTATTAAGTAATATCTTTGGCATTCAGGAAATGCTCAGCATCTTAATAAATAGAGCCACATTTTCTTATTAGAATTGAAATCCACATGAACCACATGAAGGACTTCATTAATCCTAACATTAAAAGTTAGGACTCATGAAGTATTACAAAAACAAGAAGTATTACCAAAAAAATTACACGTATCCTAAGTCTGAATATCCTCTTGTGTGACAAAGTTCCTTTTTGATGGGATATCTCTCAGTAAGGACATTGATACTATTCATCAGCATATCAAGAAACATTACTGCATTTTAAGTTAAGATTAAGCACTAAGGGTTGTTTCTGTTTTCCTCTTTTGTATCTCTTATAGAAGACTGCAGCCTAGATTTAGAGCAAGCAAGGTTAGATTGCTTTAAATGTTTTATTTCATTACACCAAATTGATGCAAACAGTTGAAAAATAGCTCAAATTAATTGTAAATCTAATACATTTTCCCAACGGATTGTAGGATTTGAACTTAGAAAGGATCCAAATCCAAATCCTATCTCTGCCATTTACTAGCTACATCATTTTAGGCAAGCTGCTTATTTTCTCAGTGCCTATTTTCTACTTACGCAAAATTTGATCACTACAGCATCATTTAGTTTGTAGTACTGTTGTGAGGACTGAATGTGATAATACATTTCAGGCATTAAAAGCAGGCCCTTGGTTCAAACAAGCATTAAAAGTACATATTTCTATTATAGTTGCTTTAAAATAAAATAACTGAACCATGGATGCATTCATAAATACATACAGTTGCTTAAATTATTTTAAAATATGGAATATAGAAAATGTGTTACTTTTCACACACAGAGCTACAATTTTCCAAATATATGTCACTTGTTTCAGATGTATCTAGAACTAAATAATTCCTACCATTTCTTCCTCATAGTGCTACAAGTTAAAGAACATTTTTTTGCATTTTAAATTAATTAAAGTATAAAGTTACTGGCCAGGCACAGTGGCTCATGCCTGTAATTCCAGCACTTTGGGAGGTGATGTGGATCACCTGAGGTCAGGAGTTCAAGACCAGCCAGGCCAACATGGAAACCACATCTCTACTAAAAATATAAAAATTAGCTGGCCATGGTGGCACACACTTACAGTCCCAGCTACTCAGGAAGCTGAGGCACAAGAATCACTTGAACACGGGAGGGGAAGGTTACAATGAGCTGAGACTGAACCACTGCACTCCAGCCTGTGTGGCAGAGCAAGACTCTGCCTTAAAAAAACTAAAAATGAAAATTAAAAAATGAATAAACTGTAAAGTAACTGAAGGATGAGACATAACTTGTAAAATCCAAAGGAAGATGGTAAGATTGTGAAGTAGTTTTTGGTAGTTCTCTTTAGGAAATTCAAAAGTTTTAATATTTATTTCAGTAAGTTTCATCTGTAAATCCAGTGAACATGTACAGTATTTTTACCAAGTTTCTGTTCCAACACTGATGTACTGTCCACCACCATGGCAATGGTGCCTTTCTGCCATCTAGTGGAAACACTAAAATACTACAGGCACACTTGAAAATTTAAATATAAGGCCTCCCAAATGAACAAAATCACTTCTTTTGTTTTGACATTCTAAGTTTTAAATCTTAAAAGTGGATCTGTGTGTTGGGCATGGTGGCTCACGCTTATAATCCCAATGTGGGAGGCTGAGGCGGGTGGATCACTTGAGGTCAGGAGTTCAAGACCAGACTGGCCAATATGGTGAAACCCTGTGCCTATTAAAAATACAAAAATTAGCTGGGAGTGGTGGTGTACACCTGTAATCCCAGCTACTCTGGAGGCTGAGGCAGGAGAATCACTTGAACCCAGGAGGCAGAGGTTGCAGTGAGCTGAGAACTAGCCACTGTACTCCAGCCTGGGTGACAGAGCAAGACTCTGTTTCCAAAAAAGAAAAAAAGAAAAGAAAAGAAAAGATAAGAAAAAAGGTGGATCTGAAAATACTGACTTTGTGATGTTAAAAGAAGTATTTTTTGATTTTTATTTATTTATTTATTTTATTGAGACCAGTTCTCACTCTGTCACCCAGGCTGAAGTGCAGTGGTGCAATAACTCACTTCAGCCCCCAAATCCTGGACCCAAGTGATCCTCCCACATCAGCCTCCTGAGTAGCTGGGACTACAGGGGCAAGCCACCACTTCTGGCTAATCTTTAAAATTTGTTTTAGAGATAAGTTCTCAATATTTTCCTAGGCTGGTCTCAAACTAGAATTATTTAAATTAAATGCAGTATGAAAAACACATGAGATATGAAAGAATATGTAAAAGGCACAAATTTGAGCAAATTGAATAGTGTACTGCTAGTAATATAAATACCTCTCCATGAAGAAATAGTGTAAAGGATGTGATGATAAATGTTTTGTATTACTTTATTAGTCCTAACTTTTAATGGTGCATCAATTGGAAATCTATTTTAACATATTTTCATACTTAGACCAAAAATATCCATTGCAACAATAATGATTTAACAGCCAATGCACAAAGGAACAAAACAAAGCATGAAATATATGTGTCCATATGTACAAATGTAGACACACACTCACCTAGTCATTTTTTAGTATAATAAAACAAGACGCCCATTATCATTTGCTATTTTGTGGTTACAAATTTGTCCAGGATTAAGAAATGACCACACCAGAAAAAAATGATTAAAACCTCTAACATCAAGCATCGTGATTTCGCTCTCACAAAATGTTACCTTACTAACATAAGGCTTCTTCATAAAATAATTATCAAATCTCAATGACCTAATATATTCAGTTGAAACCCAATTATGTAAAATAATAGAGATATCATAAGTGATCTATTTTTGAGCATTTATCACATATATCCACGGATAGGTAGGTAGAAAGATTATTTTAAAGAAACATTTTTAGATAATCAATGTTAAATACACTGCTGAAAAAAGACACATTTGTTAAAAGGTGAGCAAAGTGATCTCCAAAAGGAAATCACACTCTAATACTTGTGAAACTTGAGACCGCGTGGACCCCAGGCTACAGTTCACCCTCATCTTTTCCCACCCCCGGGGTCCATCTCATACTATGAGGGAGCTTCATACAGATGCCTCTGTGACACTCTAGTCCACACATACAATCTTAGACCATGCCTTCCCCATATACCCCACCTCCATCCTTATCCTAAAAGCAGGCTCTGCAATTTGGACCAGGAATGAGGTATCTTGATTACCTCCAATGTATTCAAGCATTGGATGGGCATTTCACAATGGCCTCCATAAGCTCCACACCAACTCCTCACTCTTTGTGGAAGGGCTCTGCAGGAGGACAGTGAGGTTAGGGTCTACTAGGGACTAAGGCTGGTACCAGAGTAACTGTGATTTACAAAAGAGTATTTTCTAGAGGACTATCTAGTGGAGAGATGATGTGAAATGATGTGCCAAAGGGAATCCTTATGTTCAGCATTTTTCCTAGCTTCTGTATTCAAGGGTCTGATTCTAGAATAGAGAATGTCAAACTTCCCATGGAAGCAAGGAAGATAGGAACTAAAGACAGCTGTACTGGTGAACTTCATCCTGACCTAGGTGAAAAATGTGTTTCTCTGACTTGTAATGTCAACTCTGTAAACCGATTTTCCCTTTAAATATGAGGTTTCTATCCTGTAGTCTGTGTTCCTTTTGCCAGAGGCATGAACATGCCAGGTATAGACAGCATTATTTTATTAGAGGAAGACATATGTATATACTTACCAAACTGTTCATTTTTGAAGATGAAGAACCTGCTCTTTGCTTTCTTAAGCTATTCATGTCTTCTATATTTCCGTCTTTTGGTTTCAAAATCATTCTGCTACTCCCTGCAGTGCCTTCTGATGAGGATCGCAGTCTCCTCTCTACAAATCTTCCTTCACGAAATGGACTGAGGCTACTGGCAAGAACTATGGAAAGGAAAATAAATAAAAGTGAATGTAAATATTTAAATTTAGTTTTTATAAATGTTCCACTGAAAGATCATGGAAAACAGTGTTATTCAAAGCTTCTCTATCACAAGAAAACTTTTAAATATATAGCATCCGTTTAGTTCACTTAATCATGTAATCTCTTTGAAGCAGAAAACTTCTGGAGTCATCCTTGGTTGCTTCGTAGCTCACATTAATCACATAAACAAATCCTGTCCCTATTTCCTTCAAACTGTATATAGAATCTGATTTCTTCTACCTCTCCTTCTGAGATCCTGGACCAAACACAATCTATGCTTGCTTGGTTACCACAATATTTGCTACAATTATCCTGCCTCTGCCTACTCCCAACTGCCTTTCCCAACACAATCTACATTCCATATGGTAGCCAGAACCATATACTGAAAACGTAAGCGACAGCCATCACCACCACTCTTCCTAGCCAAAAGGTGATGTTTTTCAAATGGCATAACAACTTCTTCATACTATGACCCATATGACTGCTCTCTCTGGCTCCAAACCAGGGGCAGAAGGGTCACCCTGTTCAGTCGCTCACCTTTGTAACCTCATATCCTGTTCTCCCCTCCTTCACTCTGCTCATGCCACACTGGACTCTTGCTGTTCTGGTACATTACCAGCATGCTCCAGCCCACGCAGCTTTTGACCCACAACCCTGCACTAATACATTTCTCTCAAATATCTGTATGGCTTATTATTTAAGTTCATTTAAACCTTTACCAAGATATTACCTTGGCTATCATCCTGCTCACATTTAAAAATGCAAACTGATTTAAACTTTATTCTGATTTAAACTTATCCTCGGCAGTTATCACCATCTGATATATATATCATGTTAACTGAGTATCCCCAGTAGCAAGCAAACCTCAGCAAGGCAGGGATCAAGGCCTGTTTTGTGTATTTTACATCCCTAGTGCCTAATACAGTATCAAAACAATAAATATTTGGTGAATGGATGAATGAGTAAATGAATACATTGTTCTAATTAGGCTCATCTACTCAATTAAAGACTGTCCAGAACCTATTAGTTCAACATACAGCAGTTCTTTTTAAATAACTTTTTAAGCCAATGAATGAAAGTTAAATTGCCAGAGAACTCAACATTCTATTATTAGTTCTGATACGATGTACACCTAATACACTCAGATGTGTATCTAGTACTGGCTTAAATGTTTCATAAAAAATACAAACTAAATTTAGCATTTTGAAAGTTAGTGTCTATACAAACTCTTAGTGTCTATACCAATTCTTTCTTGCATAAAATGCATTTACCTAGCTGTTTTTAAAATTTTAAACTTCGAAATTATAAAATCCTTATAAATATCACATGAATATTTTCACAAATTAAAGGATAGTATACTATACTTGTTGACACTACCAGCTAATTTATCCAAGAACAGCCAACACATTATCAAGTCAGCAAAATTAATGCGCTATTGTGTTACAATTAGGACCTCAATCAACATATTAACAGTCACCAAGATAATTGGTCATTCTCTAATTTCCAGAGAAATAAAAATACACAGTATTCAATTAGGCTTTGAGGAAAGTCATCATTACTAAATAAGAATTTGATATGTCAAGATAATTTGATTTCTATCCCTTTTTTATATAATTTTAAAATTGTCTGGCTTTCAATATCAAGTACATCATTTGCTAACAATGTGGCCCTATAAAGTTATTTAACTTACTTTAAATTTTATTAATATGACATGCAAAATATTTATAAGGACTCTATAAAACAGTATATGCAAATTTCTTAGTATTTTGGGGCAAATATTAATTGTACAAAAGAGTAATCATTATTAATGTCATTATCATTATCATATTCTCATAATTATATTACAGGTAAAGAAGCTAAGCAGGCATGACTAAAGTCAAGACCACAGACAAGGATACAAAGTTCATAAAATGGACAAAACGTGGTCAGGTGCATAAAAGTGATCTTGCATCAAATGGGAAAAGTATTAAGATAGCTGGAAAATTAAGTCATGCATTTAAAACTTTAAAATTCTATGTTTATGAACTATATAATCCTATTACTCATGACATTATGTCATGTAAATTTTATTTAATATTTTAAGTAATGACATGAAGTGAAGCATAGTTATGAAGAGCCAGAGCTTTGGATTCAGAGAGTTGTAGTTTGACTGCACTACTTACCAGCTGTATGATTCTTTAGCCTCTGTTTTCACATTTGTAAAATGGGAAACTTAGGAGCCTACATCATAGGATTTGTTTCCCAACCAATTAATTATTAGTTTTGCATCTGTGGATGCATAATTTATTTTTGCTCCCACTTTCTTGGCTGCAAAATATCTTATAATAATAGTAGTGATTTCATTCATTTTTAATTAGTGTATACAAAGTATACAGAAAGTATCTAGGACATAATAATCATCTTCTAATTTGGGAAAATTCTTAGTAGTAGTAGTAGCATTAATGATAGTAGAGAAAAAGGAATTAAAATATGTCCCCAGCAGGTGGTTTATATTCAATAATTTTCTTGAACTGAATTTCATATTAAAAAACAAAGTTTTCTGTAGCCACATTAGAGTAATTCATACATACTACCACTTTTTTTAAACCAAAGAGAAGGTGTCCAAAGTTGGAGAGTTAGTTAAGGTCAGAGGCAGAGTTGGAACCTATGTCTCCAGGTTCCAAAGATAGTTTTTTGTTTTTTTGTTTACTTTAATCTTACAATTCTGCTGTTGTATCTAGAGATAGGAATTATTTATGTTTAAACATGGATCCTATTTAATAATGAAAGCTTAGTTAACAAAGGAAAACAAGTTAAACTATACACATTTTATAGTGATTTTAGCTATATGTATCCATTTCAATAAATAAGAAATATCAATGCCTCTATAATAAACTCGATAAAAGACAGTCCTTACTTGAGAGAAATCCAAATTACAAACAGAATTAGTTTCCTTTCACTTTCTTCTGAAGGTGCTCCAATAAGCACCATATAACTAAGAGGCTGCTTCTCAGTTACGGACAACATAACTAAGAAAATATGAATAATATTGCTCTATTACATTTTCAGAATAATACAACTGATGTAAGTTTAAAATCAAGCAAGGGAAACAGTACAAATTATAAATAAACATTTAATACAAATTATAAATATTTTGAAATAGAAAACTATTTCAGAAAACTGAATAAATTATAATAAAAATTAATTCATATCATTTGTTATACATAGAAAATCAGCATACCTTTGGCAGGATTTGCTTCATATCCATATGATGTTTTGTTAAAAATATGATGATCACCAGAAGTAGGTATTATCTTTGAATCTGAAATAGGATGGATCCCTTTAACACGTTCAGCTATTGCTTTATGTTGTTCATAAAATCCAAGTTTCCTTGGGGAGCTTGTCCCCAGCATTGTTTCACCATTTTGTAACCCTATATTTTCTTCTCTTTCAATATCTGCTGGTAGGTTAGTCTCTGAGTGGCTCACACTTGTAGCAGGTAGTTCAGCAATTTGTAATAACACTTCCTTCTGATTAGCAACAGAGGTTTCTGGTAAGGAATTAGATTCAGTGCTACATTGACTCTCTAACCTAGATTTCCCAGGAGACATAATTGCACAGGGAACATTTTCCATAAATTCTATTGTTGTCTTTGTAACAGCAGCAGGATTGAGAGACATCTGAGAGGTAGAATCATTGTGGCCAAAGTTGTCACAGTGGGATGCCATGCTTCCACTTTTAGAAAATGCATCCATTTCAGACACAGAATCTTCAGTCAAAGCTAAAAATTCTGAAGGTGTCTGAGCTGTGGTAAGATCAGCAGAAAGCAAAGGAGATTGTAAAGAGCTTCCTGCCCGTTCTGTTACATCCACAGAACAGGATGGCGAAGCTCTTGCAAATACAGGTTCTCTCTCTTGGTACTGTGTAACTTCCAATGAGAATTCAGACTGTTGTACCAATGAAATGGATTGGCTCTGTAGAACTGGCTTAGAAAATTTATAGTGAGATGAAAAAGATTTAGGGAGTAGCTTCCTTGTTGATTGCTTAATAGAACGACGAGTTTGGTCTTCTGTGAATCCAGAATCATCTCCCTCACTTTTGCCAGAACTTAGACAATTTATAAAGACATTCTTATTAGTTGAGTGTTCTTTTTCCCTTTCAAAATCCTCTGTCAAAGATCTCGTTATCTTCTTATTTCGTGAACTACTAAAACCAACAGAATGTCTTCCCCTGGTCTTAATATGTTCTTCCAAACTCAGTTTCTGCATATTGCTGTGACCAGGTTGAGCACCATTTGAAATACTAAGGTTCTGGTTGGTAGGCTCTTGCTTAGGCTCACTCCCCTTCTTATGGTGGAAGCTAATGGAAGGAGTACGAAATATGCTCCTACGTTTACCTGTACTACCTGAGCTTGAGTTAGTGCTGGAAGGAGAGGAACTGTGGACACCAACTGTATTACTGGAAGAAGGTGAAGAAGGAAGAGAATCATGTCTTCTGCTAATACTTCTTCTGAATATTGGCAACCTAGAGACCAGAGTAGATCGTCTTGATCCTGAGTCCCCCATTGGGACTCCAAGACTTGCACTGTGAAAGCCAACTTAGCAGCCTGAGAAAGGTTAAAACAAAAAGAACATGTCAGTAGAATTCAACTACAAATAGTATATTTTAAAACAAAGTATTGTTTTTCAAGACACAAAATAGAATTTGGTTTAAACTAAAACAATAAATAATAAAAATCTGATCCCTAATAAATATTTTTTGAATTTATAAGTCATAAAAATGATCTAATAATTTTCATTGATATTTTATAATGATGCAAATATTCTAAGATTAACAAAAGTATTTAAAGCTTATTCAAGAGTGTTGGCTTTGGAGACACCAGGTCATTATTTAAGACCCAGCCCTGCTACTTGCAGCTGTTTCATAATTTTGGTAAACTGTTTATTCTTAACCTTTATGTTTATTTATTTAGATGCAGTAGGCACATGACAGACATATAATAATTTCTGTCTGGGTAAATGCCCCACTATGGCTCCTGTCAGAGACCACCAAAAGTATTTTCATTTGACACCACATGACTCAGCAAGTTACTGACCCAAGATCAACAGAATCACAAACAAGACAATGGTATAGCCAGACACTACAATCAGCACTCAAAGAAAAACCAATTGCTATAGAGTTTTCTCCTTGGAGTTTGATTTGGGAAACTGAGAGATAAGCAGGCCTTTGGAAGAAGAAACTAAATCACAAGGATAGAACACAGGGTTACAAACAAGTTAAACTTATGACAGAACCACAGGTATCAATTGAAGAAAAGACTTGAATGAAAACTAAGACAGTTGGTAACCTTGAGAGAAGTGAGAATACATACTGAGAGAATCAGAAACAGAAAAAATTTATAAACCATACTAATATCAGTATATTCAGGGTATCAATGGAGAAGATGAAGAAGGAGGAGGACAAGAGTGAGGAGAGGTGGCATCTACAACTCATTAACTGCAATGTCCCAAGTACTTTCCCACAGATTATCTCTTGCACATCTTATATTTCTAGAAGTAGGTAATAAGACTATGAATATTTTACAACAGAAAAGCAGTTTGCCTAATGTCATTCAGCCAACAAATGATAACACAGGAATAAAAAACCAAGCCGTATCTAACTACAGTGTCAGCTCATAGTCAGCACGGTACAAACTGCATTCACTAAAGTGATTAGTCACGAACTCCTACTGCTGAATGAAGGCCCAGCTATGTTTTTCTACATCAGGGATTCAAACTTGTGCAGCAAATATTGCTATTGTGATGACTGCCATTTATCACTGATTATTTTAAACTGTATCTGATTTGGTTCCTGTTTTGTTTTTGAGTTTTGCTTAATCCTTCAACTGTAATGTACCTTCTCCCTTTGTAAATTGAATCAGACTCTGTTTCATTTTCTTGGCTTTTACAGTCAAAACTACCTGACTAAAAATTAACAAATACTATACAAAATTTAAAATCCTCCATTTTATCATCCTTATAAATGTGAGAATTGATCAAGTAAAATACTTTAATTTCCTTGAACAAGTATGTAACAAAATGGCAAATATTAGCTTTCAGATATGCATTCTTAATTATTTAATATTTTGCTCCAAACAACATAAATCTGACAGATTTGTATTATGAGATATTTAATGGATGATTTTTCACTACAGTCAATGAATGTGCGTTAATTTTAAGAATTGATTTTAATTGACAGGTGACAATTGAATATATTTATGATGTATACTGTGATAGTTTTGATATGTATTTACATTGTGAAATGATTAAATTAAGCAAATTAACATAACCATCTCCTCATATACATACCATTTTTTTGTGGTGACAGCATTTAAAAATCTACTCTTTCAGCCATTTTGAAATATGCAGTACATTATTATTAACTATAGTCAGCATGCTGTGTAATCAACCTCTAAAACTTACTTCTTCTAACTGAAACTCTGTACCCTCCGAACATTATTTCTCCATTCTCCTGGCCCCAGCACCCCAGCACCCTGGTCCCTGGTAACTACTCTACTTTCTACTTCTATGAGTTTAATTATTTATATTCCATATATAAGTGAGATCATGCACTATGTGTCTTTCTGTACCTAGGTTATTTCATTGAGCATAATGTCCTCCAGGTTCATCCATGTTGTGACATGTGACAGAATTTCTTTTTTAGGCTGAAAAGCATTTCATTTTACATATAAACCACATTTTCTTTATCAATTCATCCATTGATGTACACTTAGCTTTGTTCCATATCTTCGCTATCACAAATAATGCTGCAATAAGCATAGGAGTACAGATGTCTCTTTGACTTACTGATTTCAATTCTTTGACTATATACCCAGTAGCAGAATTGCTGGATCATATGGTAGTTCTATGTTTAGTTTTTTGAGAAACCTCCATACAGTGTTACATAGAGGCTAATTTACATCCCCACCAACAGTGTGCAAGTTTCCTTTTCTCCATATGCATTTGAATTTAAATCAAACTATATATGAATCACTCCCAAAACATTTCAGTATTCTTGTAAGGCTTTGCTTGAAGAAAACTTAAAACATAAACAGACATTTTAGCTTTTAAAATTTTTCACAAATAAAAATGTGTGATTTTCCTCACAGCTTAGATTTTCCCAAATGTATACAATAACACATTTTTCATGATTGTATTCTTTAAAATGTTTTAACTAACATCATTCACAGCTATGATTTTTTTCATTTATATGCAACATTTATTTCCATTCAATGCCTATTGAAGAATTTTGTTCTAATTAGAGCATAATCAATTGTAATAATTTGCAGCTGGTTGTGAACCTATAGACTTCAATGCATAAATGTCAAGATATCAACCATCATTACTGAAATATTCAAAATTTATGTACATTGAAATATTTATTGGCCATTTTAAAAGTATTTCCTGAGGGATAGCATGGGGAGAAATGCCAGATGTGGGTGAAGGGGAGGAAGGCAGCAAATCACACTGCCACGTGTGTACCTATGCAACTATCTTGCATGTTCTGCACATGTACCCCAAAACCTAAAATGCGATTTTAAAAAAAACTATTTCCTGTATTTGGGTTAAAAGTAAAATAATGAGTCACTCCCATATATCTTTAGCAAGTATTAAAAGGATTTAACTAGCAAAAAAAAAATTTTTTTAAACACTTTTAAAACCACTCTTGCTCCTAAGTACTTAATGAAAACCACAAGGCTTCCACCAGGCACAAATAATTGATTTAGGCTAGTGGTATGTTTTTCCTAATTTCTTAAAGTAAAAACATCATAGATACTAAAATATATCTGCACATTAAATAGAAAAACCTAGAGTAGATAAAAATCTACCAGAGATAAAAACACTTTACATGTCTTTTATTTTTAATATGAACTCGTATTTCCTCTTGAGAGCTTCCCAGCTAAATGATAGAAAAATAGACTATGAGTCAGGATTATCCATATTCTTCAAAAGGCTCTTTAAAACTTGGATGCTCTCTACATCACCAAAATCATTACTCCTCTTCTCATACTTCATGCTTTGCTTACAATGATGACTGCCATTTTATTATCTTTTTTTCCTTTTCTTTCTTTTTTGTTTTGTTTTGTTTTGTTTTTGGAGACAAGGTCTTGCTCTGCCACCCAGGCTAGAATGCAGTGTAGTGAACATAGCTTGCTGCAGCCTCAAATTCCTGGGCTCAAGCCATCCTTCTACCTCAGCCTCCCAAGTGGCTGGGACTACCAACATGCAGGATCATGACCAATTAACTTTTAAAAAAATTCATAGAGACAGGATCTTGCTATGTTGCACAGACTGGTCTCAAATTCCTGGCCTCAAGCAATCCTCCTGCCTCAGTGTCCCAAAGTGTTGGGATTATAGGCATGAACCACTGCACATGGTCATGACTGCTGTTTCTGATCACTTTCACCTTCGAACCTTTGGAGATTTGGGTCTACCAGCTTGGGATGCCCTCACTGTAACTCCAATATAGCAAAGCCTCCTACTGGTATAACACTGCTCCTTCCAAGATGCCATCCCTGACACCTCCTTCCCCACCTGACACCCCAATTCCTCTGTCTCTCATTTAGAACTGGTACTCCTCTTTTACGTATCCTCAAGTACTAGCTTACATAGTAACCATCTGTTTATCTCAATTTACTATTTTGTCTTAAGCTCCTTAAAGACAAATGCCATCTCTCCTTGCTTTGATACCCAGTGCCTGATAAAATACGCAATTTGTACCTATAGAGAACATAGATTTCAGAAATGAAGTTTTAACTTCAACACTAGGATTTCAAATATACATAAATATATTTTCTGTCTCACAGCCATGAATAAATCTCATAATACTGATGGTAATTATGCTGAATTACAGCATTTAGAGATTCACATTTATTGAAAGACTTTGAAACTGTAAAAAGTTCAATAATCTGAAATTTGCTAATAAAAAGTTAAAAACATGAAAAAAAATCCTGAATAAGTTTAATGAAACAATATGTCATCACAGCAACTTCAATTATTCGTGTACTATAATTTGCAAATTATAACTGCTAATTTCATTTCTTTTTATGAATAAATATATTTTTATTTCTTCAACTTATTATTATAATGTTTCAACTATGAGGATGTTGGCAGTGCAGGCTCTTTCTACTAGAAAGACCATGCTATCTACACCTCAACACTTTTTAGTTTATCTCTAAATGCATTTCCAGAATGTTTTAATGTTTACTTTTAAATAAATGGAAAAATAATCGAGGTATTTTGAACACCTAAATGACTCCCACAGCACTGACAAAGGCCTTCTGCCAGTAAGGTCAGTGAGGATGATGTGAGACACATTAAAAGGACGGCTGATCAGGAACAAGTGGGTGATCAGTCACAGAAAAGAGAAGGACATTGTCAGCCTAAGGTAGAAAAAGCTGGAAATCACATAATTGATTAGATATGTTTAATTAACAATTTATTAAATTTGTATATAATTTAGCCTTATTGAGTATACTAAGTTATTCTCAACAATAAACATAATGATCAAAACAAATAATGGCTTATATAAGAAATGTCTGCCTTTGGATCACAGCTAAAAATGATT